CTGCAGAAGTTCCCAGTAGAGCCGTCTCAGTGATAAATTCCTCCTCAAGAGGCGCATAGTGATTCGTCACATGTGAATCTGCTGTTCTTGGCATTGTTTTTTCTGGCTGCAATTATAAGACTCGATACCCAGAGAAACACAGCAGCTAAAGTTTGTAGCAATATCAAGAACACTAAGACCGCTTCGTACAACTGGGTGTGAAGATGCGACATTACTGAGGTGCTCCTGCACGCAAAACGAGTCCTACCATTCTGAGCTACACATGTCCCTGCCCAATTTCCAGAGATTTTGGTGCTAAACGATTACCATGAAGAAGGATTAGTTACGCGCACTGCTTCCACTCTGATCTCGGTATTTGCGACGAAAACACACAACCGTCCTAGCCCACCAATAAACACAGCTGTTTATTTCTAGGCAGTGTTTTGCATTACCTGTCACCTCATTACCTTTTTTTTTTGGACACTTTCCAAAAAAGCACTGTGAACCATAATCAATTTCGCCAGATATCATGCATATCTTTTCTAACACTAACAAAGCATTAAACATGAAAATGGCAGTTTTAATTCTACCGTTACCACTCTATGTGGAAGATTACGCTTGCTGGGGAGGAAAAGCTATTGGTGACTTAACGTTTCAAGAAACGAAGCATAGTAAGTGCCAACAAGTCCCAGCGCTTCTCCAATAAAATGCTAAGACTTCCACCTCGTGTGAGTGAAATTATCAGGATAGTGTACGCCAAGAAGAAAAACTGAGCCGATTACGTGGTAAGAATGGGAGATAACAAACAGACAAAGCAAGCAGGACGCGAGCAATATTAAAGGAATAGTTGAACAAAAGTACTGAAATACCGTGTATTTTTCTCCAGCAGCATCAACACTGGACTTGAAATTAACGTGGCTACTATTCTGCTCATGTTTTGGTGATGCATAATCATCTTTCTTCCCCCATCGTTCCACAAACGGATTCTTCTAGAACAAAAAGGAATATACCAAGCCAAATTCTGTGAAAGTTTCTAAACAAAGCAAACTTTGATTCGGAAATGGTTTAGAAATTGATAGACAAGTTACTATGGTAGTCAACTAAAAAAAGGTAGAATGAAGTGCTGAGATTGTATTTTTCTCAAAACAAACACATTTACGACATTAAGCTTGGAGGCTGTAAAAGTATAAAAGTCTGCTGCTTCGTTCTAAAAAATCAGCAGGACCACAAAGTTTTCCTGTGCTAAATTTTATGGGCATAATAACAATCGTTCGACGAGTCGCGCTCAACGTGACAAAATTATTGATTTCCAATTTCAATTCCGAAAAACTTCAGGCGAAAAATTGAGTAATGTGGAATCTCTCTTTCGACACCAGCATCGCACGAAACATTAAACTATGGCCTACTCTGGAAGCCGTAGGCCTTGGGGTTTCAACTTTGATTCGGCTACAGCACCGTGGGCAGAACTCGCTTCAGGCCAGTCAGTAAGTGCTTGAAGGTCTGTTAGGGAATAACTAAAACTTGTATATTTAACCAAATTTAACGTGGAAACATGCAAAAAAAGGTCATGACTAAACATACCATAATAAATTTTCCATTTTTTTTGTACAGACCATTCTGTAAGTCAATATGTGTTTCATTTTTCTTTCGATCATCCATGAGTAAATCTTTTTCCTAAAAACATTTCCGTACAATACGAACATGAGCAAACCTATATATTACCCGGCATTTTTAATTCCACAATAAAACTGCTATCTAGGGATTCCTAGTCAGAAAACATAGACAAAAGAATATTTCGTCTAAAAACACGCTCCAAACTGCTGCAGTAAAAAAAAAACAATGACTGGCCAGGCCACCGGCGTTATGACACGTTTTTTGCACAGTTCCCCGCAAGTTTTTGGTGATAACGGCGCTGTTTTTTCCACCTGATGCTTTCAGCTAAAAGAATTCGGATTGGTCACCAGGACTGTCAAGAAACATTCCTTTAAAATTTCAGCTTTCTAGCTTTTCAAGTCACCGAGTTAGCAGCTTACCCACCAAAATCTCTGACGGGCCCGAGCGTGGGAACCACGTGAGCAGGAGTGCCCATTTTGGAGATGGGGACCCGCATATGCATACAGATTAAGTTCCCAGGCTTTCAGCCTTGTAGGTTTTGTAGGTCT